TAGATATTTCAGATTTGTGTTTGTCTATGATTGTATGTTTTTACTTGTTTAATCATAAGTTTGTAAATAATATAGATGTGAATATTTATAAATTGACATCTACTGTTCCCCCAGTTTCAGCCCTGACCCCACCCTCCGCTACACCTTGTGGAATGTTGTCATTGGAAACATCGCCAAGCTCTTCGCATTTCCGTTGTCTCAGTCCTCAGTGCAAAGGATCGGGTGTATGCCGTCAATAAAGGAAGCCTACAAGTATACTATTATGTCTTTAGTTATATAAAAAATATTAAATGATATATCAATAGTAATTTTTCTGCCTCTCATTTTATGAGAACAATACTCCATAAGTTATACACATGATACTTTTTGTCAATTTTTCTTAAGGACGTTTAATTCCTAAGTTTTTTAAGTTTCATAAATACGAGGGGCGTTCAATAAATAATGTCATCGGTGCTCCGAAAGATGCAAAAACGCTTTTCAATGATTTAGCTTTAATAATTTCATTTAAATATTCTCTTTTAATTAAAAACACATGTCTGTGACATTTTTCTCCAATTCCTGATTCTTTTTAGAACACATTTTTGGGTATGACCGTTCGTATACTGGAATATGGCAGATCCTATGATTTCCTGGACTTGTTTCTTCTTTCTAAAAGGTGTTTTTTTCAAGTTTGGAAAATGAAACAAGTCAAAGGGTGAAAGATCTGGCAAATATTGTTGGTGTGACAAAACATTAACTTTCCATTTATCCTCAAAACTCCTTAACTCTTCATGGCGTGTTGGTTTGGACGCTGTCATGAAGAAATTTTATGTAGTGGATACCTGATTTGGTTCCTGCCTCTCGTAAACCTGTCGATTTTTTTTTTGCACAAAATTGCTTTTTAGACTTCTCCAGAAATCGAAATTTCTCCAATAATAAGAATTGGAACAAAAATATTACTAATACTTAAGAAAATGGCATATGAAACTGTTTTTGTGCTTTTGCAATTCATAGTTTTCTCAAAACTTGGCTGTTTTTGTCAAGTGCATCTTATTGTAAATTTGTTTTGAGGGTTTAGAACAATGGATTCAAGTTTCAATATCTATTTGTATTTCAGACAAATGTTGATAACTACAATTTATGATTTTTTAAAATAATTGTTTAGATATTCTTACACGCTGTCGTTTTCACTCATTTTTCAAAACATACTAGTAGGGTGACCATTGAGTACTAAGCTTTTTTTTCTGTCAAATGTTTCTGTAAAACAGTGTCAACTACCCCAAATAATGCCTATCAATTTTGCTATGTGTCTTGAAGTCAAACAAACATGGTCAGTTATAATTTATTGAATTTTGGCTGTTGTGAATCTTTGTCCCCAAGGATGGTATCTATTTTTGATGCCCATTAAATTATTTTTGTTCATTGAAATCCACATGCTCATGTGTCTATAAAACATACATTGATTGCTGTAAATTTTACATATTTCAGTGACTATTTCTTTGGGATTCTTAACGAGTTTTACAGCAGTTTTCATGAAGCGTTTAATTTTGCTCTTGTTTACTGATTCTTTAGCATTCATTTTTAATGCAGTGTCTCGAATAGCCATTGTATTTCAGCTTCTCGCAATGAAACTATGTGAAGAAAAGTAGTCAAATAAACTTTAATCAATTTACCAAAGATTAAATCATGAGAGAAAGTCAAGCATAATGTCACATGATTGCTATTTTGTATGTCATAGAGCTTATGACGTTATTTATTGAACGCCCCTCGTACTAGTTAATAGATTTTGAAATATTTTTCACATCGTGGAATAGTTTTCATAAAGATGAATTAAAAAGAACAAATTATATAAAAATGTATTGTAAACCATTATTTTTTTTTTCACAGAATGTTTTTTGTTGTTGCTCCACTGATGGCGTTGACTTTCTTTTTGGCGGGAAGTATGGGCTTAGTTGCTTATGCCTATTTTGTCCAAGTTAGATGTGATCCATTAAAATCCAAATTCATAGGAAATCCCAATCAGGTACTAATATATATGTTTATGATAATTTCGTTCTTGTTTACTAAAACATTTGAAATTCATTCAGCATGACATAAAACCATAGAAATTTTGTGAAGGAATGCCATTTTTTTATTAAGAAAAGTATACCGTATTTGGCAATTAATTATTCATGTTAAAATATTTGTCAAAGGAATATTTTTCAATCTTTCGTAAAATCTACCATGTAATTCAATAAACAATCAAAATTCATTTGAACAAACACTTGGAAAAGGGATTTCAGAAATAAAGACATCCAGTTAAATTCGTTTAATTTTTGAAATGGTATTTCAAGTTTATTTGCAACTATTAAAAAAAGAATCAATTCTTCTGTTTTTGTACAGCTTTTGCCTACCCTTGTTTCGGAGATATTTCAGGAAAATCCGGGAATGACTGGATTGTTTATTGCTGGCCTTTTCTGTGCCTCTCTAAGGTTAATATGAATTTGTATACATAAAAAAATAAAATATGGATTTTCTCTTTTGATAGGCATTTGACTCTGAAAAATATCCTATGATATTTGCTGGTATTTATTTTTGTTTTATCAGTGTCTCTGAATTCTTGGAATGCCCTCAGTTTAGCACTGATGAAGTAAATGTCCCTTTAACTGAACCTAATCCAAATAACAATAGCTTTGTTTGAACATAAATAATATTTTTCCTATATAATTATGACTCCTAGTACAATATGTATTCGCAGGTTAATTTTGTATTAAATGTGTATTCCGGTGTATAAAGAAATAACTACTGAGACTTAAATAGTTAAATATAAACGTAAATAGCATTTTCATGGAAAATTACCAGACCATATGATTTTAACTTACTATATATTTTTTTTAGTACTGTGTCTAGTGGCTATGCAGCATTATCTTCTATGACCTTACAAGATATTATTAAAAAGAGGTGGCGAAAATTATCAGAAAGAAAGTCAACTATCGCATCCAAACTAACAGGTGAAAAACAGCATTTTTGTACAAAATAATTTGTCTATTGTGAAGAATGTAAATATTGCAAATAATTGACATAAGTATTACAATTTAGATAATTGAGCAATGTATAGGTAATAAAAATGATTAAGATTTGCCTTCAATTTTATTATGTTCCCCAAACGAAGTTGGGGAACATATTGTTTTTACTCTGTTTCTTATTATTAGGGTCTTCCGTCTTCAGCGGAAGACCCTTCTATTATTCTTCGGTTTCTTTTTCCCCTTTATTATTAGGGTCTTCCGTCTCCAGCGGAAGACCCTTCTATTATTCTTATGTTTCTTTTTCAATTTTCTTATTATTATTCTTTTTCTCTGCACAAATTTTGTGCAGAAGATTTCTCAGAGATGGCTCGATGGATTTGCTTCAAATTTTCAGGGTTGATGCAGGATCATCTGAAGTTTATACCATTTTTTTGATTTTTAAAAAATCACTTCCGGTCGGGAGTTATCGCCCTTTTATTAAAATTCAGCGGACCTTCTTGTCCGTCATTGATCTCAGAAACGACTTGCGCTAGAGCGCTGAAATTTTCAGTGATAATAGAGGACATGTCCCCATGTTACTGGGAGTTTCGATTGTTTCCGGAAGTACCTAGTATGGAAGCTCGGTAGGGGTCAAAATTTAGGACACGAATCACGAGTGATTTTTGGAGACATTTTGCATCATATCTTTTAAAGTATAAATATTTTGTAAGAACACAATGAACAATATTTGTGCAGAATGACAAGATCTTTCATATGATTTCGTAAAAAAAGTGCTGACTCATCAAATTTAGAGCAAAAAGGGGCTAAAAGTATTTTTTCGATAACTATTTTATAGTCAATATTTTGTTATACATTAATGAAGCACAAATGTTTATCTCAACAATCTACAACTGTATATTATGATTTTAATATAGTATGGTACATAATAAGGGGTCACAAGGGGCCAGAATGATAAATCTTTGACGCTTTATATCTCGAAAGTGAGAAATATTTTGACAAGTAATATTGAACAAAAGATGTTCAAAATCATGTTCTAAACAATATGCAACTTTTCATTTTTTGCTAAACGTCCCCATTAGGGAGTTGAAGGGTTGGCCCCTTAATATTTCTTTTGCAAATAACTCGAAAACAAAAAAGAATCTCTAAATAGTTGTTGAACAAAAAGTGTTTAAAATCTTAAGATCTTTAAAATGAAATCCAAGAAAAGGGGCTGGGTGCTCAAATTAGGGGCCAAAAAGGGCTAAAAGTCTTTTTTCGATAACTCTTTAACAGTCAAGAATTTGTTATACATTAATGAAGCAAAAATGTTTATTTTAATTATCTACAACTGTCTATTATAATTTTAAAGTCGTATATTACATAAAAAGGGGCCACAAGGGGCCAGAATGATAAATCTTTGACGCTTTATATCTGGAAAGTGAGAAATATTTTGACAAGTAATGTTGAACAAAAGATGTTCAAAATCATGTTCTGAACAATATGCAACCATTCATTTTTTGCTAAACGTCCCCATTAGGGAGTTGAAGGGTTGGCCCCTTAATATTTTCTTTGCGAATAACTCGAAAACAAAAAAGAATCTCTGAATAGTTGTTGAACAAAAAGTGTTCAAAATCCTAAGAGCTTTAAGATGAAACCCAGAAAAAGGGGCTGGACACTCAAATTAGGGGCCAAAAGGGGCTTAAAGTCTTTCTTCGATAACTCTTTAACAGTCAATATTTTGTTATAGATTACTGAAGCAAAAATGTTTATTTTAACAATCTAAAACTGCATATTAGGATTTTAATATCGTATATTACATAATAAGGGGCCACAAGGGGTCAGAATGGTAAATCTTTGACGCTTTATATCTCGAAAATGAGAAATATTTTTATAAGAAATATTGAACAAAAGATGTTCAAAATCATGTTTTGAACAATATGCAACCTTTCATTTTTCGCTAAACGTCCCCGTTAGGGAGTTGAAGGGTTGGCCCCTAAATATTTCTTCTGCAAATAACTCGAAAACAAAAAGAATCTCTGAATAGTTGTTGAACAAAAAGTGTTCAAAATCTTCAAAGCTTTAAAATGAAATCCAGGAATAGGGGCTGGGTACTCAAATTAGGGGCCAAAAGGGGCAAAAAGTCTTTTTTCGATAACTCTTTAACAGTCAAGAATTTGTTATACATCAACGAAGCAAAAATGTTTATTTTAACTATCTAGAACTGTATATTATGATTTTAAAGTCGCACATTACATAATAAGGGTCCACAAGGGGCCAGAAGGCTAAATCTTTGATGCTTTGTATCTCGAAAGTGAGAAATATTTTGACAAGTAATGTTGAACAAAAGATGTTCAAAATCATGTTCTGAACAATATGCAACCTTTCATTTTTTGCTAAATGTCCCCATTAGGGAGTTGAAGGGCTGGTCCTTTAATATTTCTTTTGCAATAACTCGAAAACGAAAAACAAAATCTGAATAGTTGTTGAACAAAAAGTGTTCATAATCCTAAGAGTTTTAAAATGTTTTGAAGAAAAAGGGCTGATCCCTAACATAAGGGGCCGTGAGGGGCCAAAAGTCGATTTTAGAAGTCTTTATTGTTCAATGTCTTTTTAGAGATTATGGAAAATCATTACTTTAGAGTGAAAATCTCATTCAAAATCTGATCTCATCTCATCAAGAATCGAACGGAAGACCCACTCGTTGTTCACAACGAGATTGTATCTAGTTTTTCTTCTTTTTTCTTCTTACAAAATTTGTGCAGAGGATTTCTCGGAGATGGCTCGACCGATTTTATCCAAATTTTCATGGTTGATGCATTGACATCTGAAGTTAATTCCGGCAAGTCCTTTTTTGGAAATTCCTTTTCAGTCGAGAGTTATCGCCCTTTGATCGAAATTTAGAGGACCTCCGTGTCTGTCGCGTTACTCAAAAACGGCTTAAGCTAGAAAGCTGAAATTTCCAGGGATGATAGAGGACATGTTGCCATGTTGCACCTGGGTCATGATATTTTCCGGAAGTGCCTAGTATGGAGGCTCGGTAGGGGTCAAAATTTAGGACTCGAATCATGACTGATTTTTTAAGACATTTTGCATCAAATCTTTTAAAGTATAATTATTTTGTAATAACATATTGAACAAAATTTGTGCAGAATGACAAGATCCTTAAAATGATATCAATGAAAAAGTGCTGACTCATCACATTACGGACCAAAAGGGGCTAAAAGTCTTTTTTCGATAACTCTTAAATGATCAATATTTTGTTATACAATATTGAAGCAGAAATATTCATCTCAACAATCTACAATTGTATATTATGATTTTAATTTCATATGTTACATAATTAGGGGCCACAAGGGGCCAGAATGCTAAATCTTTGACACTTTATATCTCAAAAGTGGGACATATTTTGATAAGTAATATTGAACAAAAGATGTTCAAGATAATGTTCTGAACACCATGCAACATTTAAATTTTTGCTTAACGTCCCCATTAAGGAGTTGAAGGGCTGACCCCTAAATATTTCTTTTGCTAATAACTCGAACACGAAAAAGAATCTCTGAATAGGTATTGAACAAAAAGTGTTCAAAATCCTAAGAGCTTTAAGATGAGATCCCGAAAAAGGGGCTGGGCACTCAAATTAGGGGCCAAGAGGGGCCAAAAGTCTTCAATTGATTACTTTTTAGCAGTTAATATTTTGTTATACATTACTGAAGCAAAGATGTTTATCTCAACCATCTACAACTATATATTATGGTTTTTATGTCGTATGGTTCATAATTAGGGGTGACAAGGGGCCAGAATGCTAAATCTTTGATGTTTTATATCTCAAAAGGGAGAAATATTTTGATAAGCAATATTGAACAAAAGTTGTTCAAAATAATGTTCCAAACAGTATGCAACCTTTCATTTTTTGCTAAACGTCCCCATTAAGGAGTTGAAGGGTTGGTCCCTAAATATTTCTTTTGCTAATAGCTCAAAAACGAAAAAGAATTTCTGAACAGTTGTTGAACACAAAATGTTCAAAACCTTAAGATCTTTAAGATGAGATCCCGAAAAAGGGGCTGGGCACTCAAATTAGGGGCCAAGAGGGGCCAAAAGCCTTCAATCGATAACTCTTTATCAGTTAATATTTTGTAATACATTACTGAAGCAAAGATGTTTATCTCAACCATCTACAACTATATATTATGATTTTCATGTCGCATGGTACATAATTAGGGGCCACAAGGGGCAAGAATGCAAAATCTTTGATGCTTTATATCTCGAAAGAGAGAAATATTTTGATAAGCAATATTGAACAAAAGATGTTCGAAATAATGTTCTGAACAATATGCAACCTTTTATTTTTTGCTTAACGTCCCCATTAAGGAGTTGAAGTTTGTCCCCTTAAATATTTCTTGTGCTTATATCTCAAAAACGAAAAAGAATTCCTGAATAGTTGTTGAACACAAAATGTTCAAAATCTTAAGATCTTTAAGATGATTTGAATAAAAAGGACTGATTCCTAAAATTAGGGGGCGTAAGGGGCAAAAGGCCAGTTTTTTAAAGTCTTTAATGTTCAATATCTTTTTACAGATTGTGGTAATTCATTATTTTAGAATGAAAATCGCAATCAAAATCTTTTCTTATCTCATCAAGAATTGGACGGAAGACCCACTCGTTGCTCGCAACGAGATCGTATCTAGTTATTTTTCTTCTTCTTCCTGGGTACTTTTTTGTCCGCGAGTGATCTTGTAAACTGTTCACCCGAAGTAGGTAACACCTTTTTAGGGTTAGTAGACATGTTATGTAGATTTGCGGAATCAAGGTCATTTTGCGCACACGTGCTTGCAAGAGCGCGCAGGTGCAACACGTGAAATGACCAATATAATAGATATGGCCGTAACTTTTCTATTTTTTGATTATATGCTTTGAAACTCATATTATAAATATATAATAGTATTATACACATGGTGACATGATTAAAATAGCAAGATCTCACGCGCATGCACGTGCGCTTCGCTCTGATTGGCTGATACTAAAGTCTCAATATCTTTCTTGTTTTTCGACAAAATCCTTTGAAATTTTAAACATGGTCATACACTATGAAGATCTACAGCATGACATATAAAAATTATCATGAAAGCATGCGCATGCACGTGTGCTGCAATCTGATTGGCCGAAACTTTAAATGCCTATAACTTTCTTAGTTTTCAACAAAACGGGATGAAATTTAGAATATGAATAGGTATAATGGATTCCCACATTATGCTACTATCAAAATTGAATGCAAGGACATGCATGCACATGCGCAAAATGATTATACTTAAAACATGGTAACATTTATATTTGTATCATTTTTTTCTTGATTTTAAGTATATAAAAATATGTTAATCGTGTAGCAACATGCCATAATCATCTTGTATATGTTTGAACGTGCGCGCGCATGCAAAACGTTGAATGACATTTATAATTGGTATCATTAAAACTTTTTTATTCTTAAATGAAATCCTTCGATACTAAGCAAATAAAAAAAGTCTTACAGGAATAAGGCATAAAAAGGGCTTTGGGGAGCGTTTGGGGAACATCTGTAACGGTTCCCGTTACAATTAACACTAGTTATAGGAAAATCTGAAGACTGTTGATAAAACGTTATAATATTATTAATAATATTATTTCTTGTTAATCGTACAGTCATGAATTATTCGTACAGTTTGTAAAGGGTCCATTTCCAATTCCCGAACACCTTTCAAATATAACTAAATGGTCCATATATACAGAAAAAATATCTGCAAAGTAAACTATTTTTTATATAGTAAATGTACCCTCTCCACTTTGTAGACATGCGCAATTATCAGAATATCTTAAAATTTGATTATTAAATTACAATTTTTATAAAAAAAATCTATTTGTACAGTGGTGGTTGTCTCGTTTCTAACGACTGGTATGGCGTTATTGCTTGCCAATGTTAAAGGGACTCTTCTAAAGGTGAGAGATGATTATCACTTCTATCGTCAAGTTCCCTTACTTATGCAGCAATATACCTTCATCACCTGCATACGGAGTTTATATATCTCAGTTGATTCGATACGCAATAGCATGCTCTACGTATAAACAATTTCTAAAACGAGTTAAATTATTGACAAACAAGTTGATGAAACAAGAATATCAGCAGTCTCGTTTAAAGTCATCATTTCGTAAGTTCTCTGGTCGATGCAATGACCGTGTCAGCAAATAGCCAAATACAATTTACATGTATTGTTGAATCAAATGCTAACTGACCTTTTTCACACTTATTGTAAGTCCATTATTTATATACACTGAATTGACGACGGATTTTTCCGTTATATCCTGATCGTGACAAGGAGCACATAGCGGGTGTGATCGGTTGGCAGGGGATGCTTACTACTCCATGAGAACTGATCCCACCTCTGAAGTTTTGGACGTCCATGTTTGCTCTGCTCCTGTTTTGTATTGTTTAAGGGACTTTTGAATACTGTTCGTTATCTCCATATTTTTCATTTATTTTTTGTTAATTACAAATGAATAATTTATTAAAAAATAATTTTAATCACTCATATATGTAACTTTTCCTGAACAATTCAATCTATATACTGAGAAATACTGTATATTTTTCTATGGATATGCATAATTCTATATTGCTAATTTGATGTCTGATAATAAACTGTAAACCTTAAAGAATGAAATATGTAGATAACGAACAGTAATCATGCTCCAAATGTTCATTGAAACTGAATAATAATGAGCAGGGCGAACACGGACCTCTAAAATCATTTCAAGATGGGATCATGTACCTTAGAGTAAAAAGCATCCCCTGTCGACCGGTAACGCCCGCCGTGTCCTCTTTGACATGATCAAGTAAACGAATTCGAAAGAACTGTATACATTTCAAAGTAAAAATAATGGCTCTGCACCTTCTACTAAAACCGGTAGTCAATAACCAGTTTAATGATGTATTTGCTGGCAAGGTCATTTTCTCGACCAAAGAAATTTGCGAAATGAATACTCCATATCGTTATTTCATTGATGAAATAAGGCATTAATTATGTAACTAACACATGTTTTGCAAAATTACTTATAATTTATTTTCAGCTTGCTCAAATGGTGTTGACCATTCCCACAGCACCATTTACAGGAATAATACTCTACAGTATTTTTTGCACATCTGCAACAACAGCGGTAACGTAGTAACACCTGGAATAGTTAGTTATTTACTTAAATGTAGTATGAAGACCATTGTTAAATTTCGTAAGAACAATTCATGTTTCAATTGCTAAGTTATTATGAATGAAGTTAATTTATTTTTTGCAAAAGTAAAATTCAGAGATAATGGAGAGGGAAAAAACTGCAATTAATTTTCATTGCATTGGGGATTTGCTTCTAGTTTCTGTCATCTTTTCTCTACCTTGTGCAGAAAATTAAGGAATTATTTTCTGACAAAGCTTTACAAATACTACTTTTATTGGAACAGGGAAGAGAGTTGAAAGCTAAATCAGGAATAGGAAGATGATTCACTTTATTTTAATACGAAATGTCATTTCATTTAACCACCCATCCCATTAAGGTAATCAACGAAAATCAAATATATAAAGGATTAATTATTCATATATTTCTTTTTCTATTCAGGGAGCTATTGTCGGTGGTGTGACGTCACTCTTGTTTTACATTTGGATGGCCATCGGTAATATCGTGGTCAGTCCCCCGTCTGTTGAGAAGAAGCTTCCCCCGGCTCCAGTAGACCAGTGTATAAGCAACTCCTCTATGTTAGGCAGCCTAGCATCTTCTAACATTAGTAGCTTGAACTCCAGTCTTACAGGCAGCACAGTACCTTATACCTTGTGAGTAATAAAACCAGATGTGCTGTACTGTACTTGTTAAAAATAAATAATTTAAAGATTTTAAGGACAGGGATAAAGTACATAAAAGACTGAACCCACTCTTGAAAGCTTTAATAAAGTATAAATGTCGCCAATCTCAAAATTCTCATCAAAAAATATTAATTCGAATTGAGAACAGATTGATTAATTGTATGTTGTCTAACATCCCTTTTGAGAATGTTGCACTCATATAAAGATGCCACTACTTGCCCATGGAGAGCTACAAATTTTGTCCTATACTCGACACTCAGGGCCATTGAGCAATATCTTTTTCGTGCCAGCACGTTCTGCAACACGGAACCTTTGTTTATATGGTCTCATCCGAAGGACTGGATTCCACACCCCACAATGGGATTCTATCCCCTGACGTAAGGATCAACTCCTTACATCACGACTCTAGAGCAGACGCTCTAACCTCAGCGCTACACGGGTGACTATTGAGAACAGGCACGAACTCTAACAAACAGTAACAAGAAAACATTGATGTAACCATCAATTGTCGCCCGGGAAATATATAAAGTAAACAATGGAAATCATTCTTGATCATCAAACCGCTTTGATATGTGTGAAAAGACATGCTTCTAATTGATGGAGACGATAGTGGCGAATATTTTGAAAACTCATAGTCGGATAAAAATCAAACAAAAACGATACAATTTTAAACTTCCTCAATTCCTCAAGTAAATGTTGGCTGCATAAAATATAAATTAAAACTAGACACATGCATCACCTATATTCAAAAATGTATTTTAAAATTTTCAATTTCCAAATATAAAACACGAACTGTGCAGAGTACGTTTTTATGCGATAAGTAAAATTCGATGTTCTAAAAAAAGGGACCTGTCATTTTATCTATAGTAGATGATAAGCAACTTTATATATTAAATATGAAAAACATACATATTTTTACAGATTCACTTTATGGAAGTAAATATATTATGTATCTCCTAATTTATAAAGGAAAGAACATTCTGATTAGCAATCTTTTCAATGTTTAGAAAACCTTTAATTCTGAATAACTACTCCCGCCCCAATCCACATACACCAACACTTAAACTTGTATGTATAGAGCAGCCCGGTCCTCCGGGCTGCAATAATAATAATAATAATACCCCTCTATAAGATATAACTTGGCTTTGACATTTTTTTTTCAAGAAAGATACTCACACTTAAACCGATAAAACAATTATGTGTAAGTTTTTAGCTCACCTCAACGAAGTTGGGGGAGCTTATGTAATACCCTCGGCGTCCCCGTCGGTCGGTGTCGGTGTCGGCGTCCCAGGTTAAGTTTTTTGGAGCAGTTTTCTTTTTAAGTACTTTTGTGTCCTATATTGATTAGAAATGCATGGAAGATGCTTCTAGTGTGTTTCATTGTACCAGTCAAAGTTTCAGATGCTGCAATTTCAGCAAAAGAATGACCAGGTTAAGGTTTTTGGAGCAGGTTAACATTTTTGGTGTAGTTTTTGGTGTTGGTGTCATTTCCAAGGAACATAAGCCCTATGTTGACCAAACTTGCATGGATGATACATCTAAGGATGTATACTACCGGGTTTGATTCGGATGCTGAATCTGACCTACATTTTACGGTTGAGTGAACAGGTGAATGATTTTGGTGCAGGTCTCATTTACAAGTAACAATAAGTCCTATGTTGACCAAACTTGCATGGATTATACATCTAAGGATGCACACTACCAGGCTTGCTTCGGATGCTGAATCTGACCTACATTTTCCGGTTGAGTGAACAGGTTAAAGTTTTTGGTGCAGGTCTCATTTCCAAGATACTATGAGCACTATTATGACCAAACTTGCAGGTTTGATACATCTAAATGGACTTGCTTCGAATGCTGAATCTGACCTACATTTTCCGGTTGAGTGAACAGGTTTAAGTTTTAGGTGCAGTTTTCATTTTCAAGATACTTTGAGCCCCATTATGACCAAACTTGCATGGATGGTACATTTAAGGATGCATACTACCAGACTTACTTGGGATGCTGGATCTGACCTACATTTTCCGGTTGAGTGAACAGGTTAAAGTTTTAGGTACAGTTTTCATTTCTAACATACTTTGAGCCCTATTATGACCAAACTTGTATAGATGGTACATCTAAAGATGCATACTACCAGACTTACTTCGGATGCTGAAGCTGACCTACATTTTCCGGTTGAGTGAACAGGTTAAAGTTTATGGTGCAGGTTTCATTTCCAAGTAACTATGAGCCCTATAATGAGCAAACTTGCATGGACCATACATCTTAGGATGCACACTAATGGACTTGCTTCAGATGCTGAATTAGACATACATTTTTCAGATAATGGACCAGGTAAAAGTTATGGGTGCAGGTCTATTACCAAAAACTATAAGGCTTATATAACATTCTATAAACCAAACTTGCTCAAATGATGCATCAAGGGATGAAAACTCTCAAATTTGCTTCAGATGCTGGATTTTAATTACATTTTCATGAAAAAGAACTAGTTTGAAGTTTTTATAAAGCTCTATTCCAAAGTATCAGATCAAAATTGCATAAATATTTTCATTTTCGGATGTACACTTTTTTTTGGTGAATTGTGTGACTTTGCCTTACTTAAAGACAACATTCGTTGAGGTGAGCTCTGTAATCTCTGATTACCTATGTTTTCTGATATATGATACTTTAATAAAGTGACATATATGTTAAGACTTTGGCTTATTACAAATTTACGATTCACATCAAGCACAACGCGTACGAGCTTTATAGAATAGAGAGAGAGATGATCAGATCGACACATTTCATAGATAATTTTTTTTCGAACCCTCCAGAAATAATGTACATAATTCCATTAGGTAATATAACTTACCTTCGGTTATTATGAAGAGTTAGTTCTTGCACAGAGCTAAAGGAAATGATAATTGCATTGAAAAATTGTCAAAAACCAGTTTTAAAAGAATAAAAAAAACATAATTTTTTCCTTGTTAATTCCAGAGAAGGTTTCAATAAGATTTACACCTTATCCTTTCAATGGTTTGACGTCATCGCAATTTTCCTTGTGATTGTAATTGGTCTGATTGTTAGCAGAATCGTAGGTAAGCTGTTATTACTAGACAAACAAAGCAGGTAGATACATATATTATAATATATTTTTATGCCTACCTGCCCAAATTCCGTTTAAGAAGAAGAATCAACTACCATATAAAGAATAAAAATGATCATTTATTAAGGAGTACAAATCATAAGAACTTCACAATACATAATAGCATATAAAAAGTCATAAAAAGACATTACACACAAAAAAAAAATGATGTTACAGGTACAAAAAATCGAACACTCCTTCAATAAATGACAATAAATCAAAAAACATATATGTACACAAAATACTACAAAACTATCACGCATTTGTATCCTGAGAAATGGACTGACTAGTAAAATTATTATGCAACAAAATTTGGTTAGAATTGAAACTAAACGACAGAAAACCTATTACTAAATTTAATATTTCATTCACATCATTTTTTACTTTGAAATTTGTCTGCACCTTGTTGTCATTAACATTTCCCTAAACCTCACACACATTTAATGCTCAATTTTAACCAATTATTAAAGCATATGTATAGCCTGAGATTGGAAGGTCCGAAAATCACTGTAAGAAAAAAAAAATTAAAAATGATTTAAAAATTTTTTTTTTTTAAACAAACCGTGTTACGACAATTTTAGGACAAATTATCACTCGCCATTATGATCAAATAGGAAGAAATACAAAAACCTAAGAAAACAAGATTCATCAAGTTTACAAACATGCCAGTGAAGCTTTAGAGCATATGAAAGGTCTGGTTAAACTCTTCAAAGTTGGATGCAGCCGCAAATTCGCAGTGATTAAGAGATTAAATATAACGATGATTGAGGTTATCTAACCGACATATCTACGAATACAGACATTTTAATTTTCTTAAATTTCTTTTCAAAGATTCAAGTTATTTAAACAGAATTCAGAATTGCATCTTGGTCTAGATGTGTTGAAATGTATCAAGGAAAAGAATTTCAGATAGTTCAAGACATATTCTCTGTTTTTCCATACAGGCAATCCAAGTATCACACTCTTAGGATAATAATATGGAATAAAAAAAGAGTACAAAAGAAAAAAATAGCTGAAATAACTCATTTTCGTTAGGATTTTATTTCTGTTGTTTTCAAGGCATAAAAACCCTTGCATTTATATCCACCAGGAAAAGCAAATTTCATATACACAACTACTAATTAAAATTATTCATAATCAATGACAAAAAATCCCCACAAACTGATAGGTCTTAATCTAACGTTGAAAATTTGACTTCATAGAATATTGTATTATGCTAAAAAAAAAACGAAAAAAAGAAATCTTAGTCGAAAATGAAGAATTAAGGCATAGAGAATTTTGATGAATGTTTGAAGATATTTTATTGTCAATTCTTATGTTCTCGGCTGTATTTTTCCCCATTGAAGTGCTTTATTAGTCACAATTGAATTAAATGACATCTAGAATGAAATATATTGTTAAATCATTAAAAAAACCATTCAATAACAAATGCTGCATGATTAAAAAAAAACAAGTAGAAGGATTTTCTTATTTTTATAATTTATTGTGCATACAATGCATACAAGTGTTTGAACATTTTATTTTGTTGCATATATTTCATTTTTATAAACTCGTCCATTTAAAAAAAATTTTTTTTTTATTTTAGGAGCTCCAAAAGAAGAGGAAGTAGACGCAAGATATGTTTTGAGTTTTACTGAACAATTTTTTCCATATTTACCAGAAAAAGTAAAACATTTTCTTTCCTGTGGATCAACAATAGCAAAGGTATTTAATTCTAATTCTGAAAACTTACGTAGGGTCAAGGTCAAATAGCCGATTCTACTGAAATTCCTTTCTTTCTTTGTTAATACCAATTCACATGTTGCACATTTTGATATTTCAAATATCATAGAACTAATTTTATATAACTTTGTGCATTTTGAATTAATTGACATGTTTTTTCCCAAAGTGACGATCAATATTCGCATACGTTTTACATTGTAAACGAATTCATCTCTCCCTTTGAATGACTTTATACAAAACTATACTTTATATGACACGTTAACATAGAATGAACACAGATATAAAGTAATAAATATTGGAGTCTTACGAAATGACCATAAAAAAATACTTTTCATCTAATCAAGTGTTTCTTCTAAAATTTTATTTTAGAGGCGCAAACAAATTCAAGCGGAAGAACGCCAAGATAATCAGCAAATTTTGATAGACGAAAAATCCAGTGTAAATGGACCTAACGATAGTTGACAGAGCTGTAAGAAGAGTGGATGGGACTACGGGAATGGGGCATTAAACAACCAATTCATACCACAGTGTTCATGAATTCTTTAGTTTTATGTCACCTCAAATATCAAAAGATGTGTTTTATGTGTAAAATGTAAACAATAATTCACGGTTTAAATGGTATATACATGTAGTATGTGTATTTACATGTACATTTTAAAGTACATGTAGGTATACAGGCTGTCATTGGGTTACTGGTAACCTAAAACTTGTCAAAAAATTCAAATATCGAATTTTTCACACTGCATTTTGTTAGTTTTCACTATATGTCATGCGTTATTTCATGTTCTTGATTCCTAATAAGTTGATCTTACAGGGATAACAAGAACCTTGTCAGCATTTC